TTTGGCGGCAAAGGGCGAGCCAGTTGGTGCCTGAGACACCTGCGGCTTCGTTGATAGAAGCTGTAAGACCCTAAACCCTAAACCCTAAACCCTCGTACTATAGGGCCATGCATTGGAGAGGAATAGCGATTCATTTTCACTGGGAATAATACACAAAGCCTTACCTGCACTCTTTTTAAACCTTAAACCCTAAACCCTCTTCGTACACTGTGAAACATTGAGCTAAGCCCTGAACAGCACCACCCGTAAACCCTCATCAAAAACCCTAAACCCTAAACCCTATTATGTTATCTAAAGCGTAAAACGTGATACCTTGTCTATATCCTAAACCCTATAACCTTATTTAGTCTTTAAACCCTAATATCCGGTTGAACCCCTAAACCCTAACAGCTGCTCCAAACCCTAAACCCTAATAGCTGCTCAAAACCCTAAACCCTAGTGGCTGTTCTAAACCCTAGTGTACCCTCTGCTACATTCCGAATAATGCGTTATTCTGTCTGTAGGGCTTGGATTGTTTGTTATCTTTATCTAAGATGCAATTGTTATTTGTCTTCTTCTTTTTTCTTGTCTTCTCCTGCTGCAGTTAGATGGGCCCCTGAAGTTTCCTTTCACTGCTTCCCCTAACGATGTAGGGGGCCCCCAATCATCCCTTAAGAAAAAAGGAGGAGGGGGCCCCCGCAGCAGACGAACAAGAGGTGGGGGGGGCCCCGACACAGAGAGGGGGCCCCCCTCAAGTACTGCAGCAGCAGATGATAAGAACAAAGAAACTACAAAGGGACGAAGGCGCCGGCCGCCAAAACATTCTGCTGCTGCTGCTGCTGAAGATGCTGCTGCTGATGATGATGATGATGCTGCTGCTGCTGATGAGAGCAGCAAACGTTGCTTGGATGTCTCCAGACCTTATAGGGGCCCCCTTTTCTGTGCTGCGACGGGGCCCCCCCCTACAGCAGTGGGGGCGCCAGAGCCCTCGGGCCCAGAGGGCCCCCCTCCACATGCTGCTGCAGGGGGTCCTCCTCCACTTGCTGCAGCAGGAGGCCCCCCACTTGCTGCTGTA